TTAATCATATATCACATGGCCTCACCGTACAAGACCTGTGTTCCAACCCTTAGACACATCTGCAGCACCCCTTCATTCCACTGACTCTTTTTATTTTCAAAACAAAATCTCTTTACTCCTCTGTCTCCAGAGAAGGGAAATCTGAAAGGAAACCCACCACATGTCACTGAGTGGTTGGTTAGTTTTAATGCTACAATTAATGTCTGGGCTTTTATTTATTTATTTATTTATTTATTCTTTTATTTGTTTTTCAGATCATAGCCAAAGATGCTCAGGTGCTACTCCTGGGTCTGTGCTCAGAAGTTACCCCTGGCAGGTGTGGAGGGGTCAGACAGTGCCAACATTGGGGCCAGCATCGTGCAAGACAAACGCCTTACACTAACTTACCAGCTCAAGGTTGGGGTTTTATTTTATATTATTATTATTATTATTATTGTCTTGCTTTTTGGGTCATGCCCAGCGATGCTCCGGGGTTACTCCTGGCTCTGCACTCAGGAATCACTTCTGGCGGTGCTCAGGTGACCATATGGGATTCTGGGAATCGAACCCGGGTTGGCCATATGCAAGGCAAACGCCCTACCTGTTGTGTTATCGCTCCAGTCCCAAGGTTGGGGTTTTAAAACAACACTTTGTGGGGCTGGTACTGCAGGTAGAGCTCTTGCCTTGCTTGCAGCCAAGCTGGGTTCAATCCCAGGCACCCCCTAGGGTCTCCTGAGCTCTGTCAGGAGTGATCCCGGGTTGCAGAGCCAGGAATAAGTCCTGAACTCAGCTGGGCTGACCTCTGAACAAAAAAATAACACCAGAAAAAGAAACCAATTTGCAATTGAAATTTTTTTTTCTGAAATTCTTTAAGGTCTCCTGAATATGGTTCTTCAACCTGAATAAGAAAAGCGTTGCATGTGGCAAGATAAAAGGTTTCCTGAAGGATGGAAGGCTGAGCTAGCTTCAGCCTGACGAGCTGGACTCCTGCACACAGCCGCCCAAGAAACTTCTGGAGATGTTGTCAGCTGACCCTGAGGAAGGGGTGGTGGAGATCAGGGCCGGAGGGCTGACTGCCGGCTACCCCGAGGCAAGGCATTAGCTGACCTTGAAGTTGGTCTCTGCTCTTCTTTTCAATAAAAATTCCTTCAATTTCTAGCCGTGAGCCTTTTGGTTTCTGTGCCATCAACTATTAACTTTCTCACAGCTCTAGAATGCCGTTTTCCGGCTTTCCAGGGCGGGTCTGTCATTTGTTATCATGCCCTGAGTTTGCTCCCCCTTCCCCGGTGGTTCTGCATCCTAGGACTTCTAAATCTTATGTCCTCCTGCATTCCACCAGGCCACCCGGCGGGGAGTAAATGGACCAGCATGGGCAGAGAGCACCCCCCCCCATCCCTGCACCCAGCACCTCATATATCTTGCATTCTCACCCTGGTTTCTGCCTCTGGCGACAGATTTTGAATCTAAGGGCCTTGTGAGGCTGGAGCCGGGACACCCCGCTTTGCAATAGACCATTCTGAGCCCCTGGCGTCTCTAGGGTTGGGCTCGTTGCTCTTAGAGGCTTGTGGGGGACCCCCTTGAGCTGTGATGCCTTGATCCCGGGTTTAGCTCTGCCCCTTGGTTCAACCATCTCCATCCAGGCTGTCACCTCTACAAAGGAAACAGCACCCTCCCCCCCTTATAGGGGCCAGTCCTACAGTGATTTGGGGTGTGGTGTGAGACTCTGGAGGTGGGAGCACTGGAGCACAGAGTCCAGACCAGGGGTCACGGGCCATCTCAGTGACAGTGTGAGGAGAAAGGACATTCAGAAATTTTAGGTTTATTTCCCTCATTCTCTCATCAAACTGTTGCTACCAGGGCTTCAGAGGAAGGGGACTTTGCCCTGCTTTAATCTTAATTGTCATGATAGGACACTGAGATTTTTGTTTGTTTTTTTGTTTGCTGGAGCGATAGCACAGCGGGTAGGGCATTTGCCTTGCATGCAGCCGACCCGGGTTCAATTCTTCCGCCCCTCTCAGGGTGCCCGGCAAGCTGCCGAGAGTATCTTGCCCGCACTGCAAAGCCTGGCAAGCTCCCTGTGGCGTATTTGATATGCCAAAAACAGTAACAAGAAGTCTTACAATTTGTTGTGAGACGTTACTGGTGCCCGCTCAAGCAAATGGATGAATAACCGGGAGGACAATGCTACTGCTACTTTGGTGGCTGGAGAAGACCACACCAGGTGTGCTCAGGAGTCACTCTTCGTGGGCTCAGGGGACCCTCTGAGATGCAGGGGATCAAACAGTGGTCAGCCTTGTATAAGGCAAGTTCCCTAATTATACTGTACTATCTCTCTGGCCCCAAGGGCACTGAGATTTTTTTTTTTTTTTGGCTTTGAATGTCACTTTTGGGAGCTCCATCTCTGAGAGCAATAAAACCCCTGGAGGGCAGAGAAAAGGCTCTGGGTGCTTTGTTTAAGGAGGTGGGTGGGGCAGGACAAACAGATACTGTCCTGAAGGGGGATGGAAAGTGGAAAATCACCAAGGGAAGGCAGTTGCTGAAGGCCTGAGAAGGGCTTGGGGGGGTGGAGGGGAGAGCTCCCTTTCCCCTGCAAAAATCCCATTTAGAAAACAGCTCTGCTAAATTCACAGTCAGCAGCCAGGAAATTAGTCCAAGAAGCTAAGGTGTTTGCCTTTCATGCTCTCACCCCGGTTCCATCTCCGGGATCGCATATGGTCCCCTTGAGTGCCATCAGGAGTGAACCCTGAGCACGGAGCCAGGAGTAGCCGCTGAGCACTGGTGGGCACTGATTGTCCAAAGCACCCCCTCTATATCCCCTTCCCCCCCCTCCATGAGTCAGCTGTGGCTTATCTGTGGGAAAGACAAACTCATGCCCTGCCTGGGCTTGAATTAATCAATAACCCCAGTTTGGAGCCATCTGGGCAGACACCATGACTCCAGGGGTCAAAGCCAACCCCAGCTACAGGGCAACTGATACTTCAGCACCAGCCGGAAGTCGGGCTTTATTAGAATGTCCAGGGTGGAGCCTATTGCTTTCTTGGGGGCTTCTAGTCCACAGGACGCCTGAATGTCAGGAAGAGTCATTTGCAGGCTCTGTCCACTTCTACTGAGCTCCTCTAACTCCTGCAGCAGGGGAGGCAGATCCAGAGGGCAGCCTGCCCTGCCACGCCCCTCCCTGCCCCCCACTCCAGCTCAGTACAACCCCCCTTTCCTCCCCTACCAACCCGCAGGGACCTGCCTGCCACGGTGTGTTTCTTGCTTCACTACTTTCCATTCCACTAAACACGATCCGCTTCAGAAGACAGAAGGCTTAGGTCTGCCCAGTTGGACCGCCACTTCTCAGGAGGTGTTGATGTGTGTTTGCAGCTCTGGGGGACTGAGCTTTCCTGGTGCCCTGGTCGTGGGAGCTGAGCACTCTGGGGGGAGGTCACAGAACTGAGAACACTGCACCAGCTCTGGCCTCCCTGGCACTCCTTGAAAGGGATGCGAAGGCTCTGAACCTTTGGCCCCGGATCTCTTCCTGTAATTGATCAAATCAACGCAATCTCCCCAGGGAACAGCTATGGGCACCTCAAATCCTTCCAACTAGGGCTTCTGGGGACTCCTATCACCCCAGGTGGAAAGAGAATGGAGACCAGAGAAACGAATCTAGAATCCACAACCTGGACCTCAGGAGAGAACTTTTCAAACCTGTTTAAAGCGACCGACATCGGGGCCAGAGCAACAGTACAGCTGGAAAGGGGTTTGCCTTGCATGAGGCTTTTCCAGTTTCCATCCCCAACACCCATTGGTTCCCCAGCACCATCAGAAATGATTGCAGAGCACAGAACCAGGAGTAAGCCCCAAGCACCGCTGGATGCAAACCCCAAACACAAACAAACGATAAATACAGTGATCTGTATTGCTGGATTGCAGTTTAGATCTGTGCAGCATTATATTTATTATAGACACAAAAATTTCATGTGTAAATTTCCCTCTTCTGCTCAACACCAGACAACACTTCCCACAGGAGTGGACAAGTATCTTCTAGGTCTGATCTAGGCTTTTTTTTTTTTAATTTTTATTAGTGAAACACCATGAGGTACAGTTGTAGACTTGCAAATTTTTGTGCTTGGGTTTCGATTATACCATGATCAAATACCCATCCCTCCATCAGTGCCCATTTCCCACCACCACAGATCCCAGTATCCCTCCCACCCCCCATCCCCCCCATCCCACCCTACCTCTGTGGCAGGGCATTCCCTTTTGTTCTCTCTCTCCTTTTGGGTGCTGTAGTTTGCAAAAGAGGCATGGAGTGGGACCCATTTCTTACAAAATTTTGTGCTTGGGTTTCAGTTATACAATGATCAAATACCCATCCTTCCACCAGTGCCCATTTCCCACCACCACGGATCCCAGTATCCCTCCCACCTCCCCAACCCCCCCATCCCAGCCTGCCTCTGTGGCAGGGCATTCCCTTTTATTCTCTCTCCCCTTTTGGGTGCTGTGGTTTGCAAAAGAGGCATTGAGTGGCAATCATGTTTGGTCTATAGTCTACTTTCAGCATGCATCTCCCATCCTGGGAGGATTCTCCCAACACCCTTTATTTGGTGCTCTCTTCTCTATCTGATGATCTAGGCTTTCTTTAATGAATGGCATGGCCCGGGGCCTGGGCTGGGAAGTCGCTTGCCCCTCCCGCTGTGGGTGCTGCAGGGAGGGCGGGGCTCCGAGAAGGCGCAGGTGCCCTCGCGCAGGTGTGGCTCACCTGCCCGAGGCCCGCAGGGCTGGGGAAGGGCAGGGCGTGGAGGGACCGGGGGCGTGGCTGAAAGTCAGGGGCGTGGCTCAGAGGCGGGGCGGGGCTCAGCCGTGGGGGCGTGGCTCGGCGACGACAGGGGCGTGGCGTGACGGTGTTGAGGCTCGGCGGGGGGCGTGTCTCTTCGGCGCTGGCGGCGTCGTGGCTCGGGAGGGGGCGTGTCTCGGCGGCGGGGGCGTGTCTCGGCGGCGGCGGGGGGGCGTGTCGCGGCGAGTGGGCGTGTCCCCGGGCCCGGGGCATTGTGGGAAGCGGCGGCGTCCCGGCGCGCGCTCACCTGTCAGCCGCCGCCGGCTCCAGCGCTCGCCTCTTGCGCTCGCGTCCCCCGAGGTCCCGGCGCGCCATGGTGAGTGCGGGCGAGCGCGATCCCGGGAAGCTCCCGCGGCGCCGGGGCACGGTGGGGGGCTCGATCCCGAGCCGGTCGGTTGGGGACCCCCCCTCCGCCGTCGGGGCCCGGGTGCGGACGGGGCGTGCCGCCGGGTCGGGTCCCGGGCGCACCTGTCCGCGGCGCACCTGTCCCCGGCACACCTGTCGGGTCTCCCCGGGGAGGGGGGACGGGGGGGGGGCGCCGGGCACTGCCTGTCATTCATTCCTCCGAGGTTGGCAGGCGCTGCCGGTGCCCCGGCTGGGGGCCAGGGTTCCGTTCTACGGGGTGGGGTGGGTGAGCCTTGCAGACTTGGCGAGCACCTGGACCAGGTGTCGTGGAGTCCTGGGGGGCGCGGGCGGTCACACTGTGCAGGGTGGGCAAGCAGGAAGGCGTCGAGGAGGAGGAGGTGCCACCCGAAGTTGGGTGCTGCAGGGTGTGGGAGCCCAGAGAGCAGAGGTCGAGAGGGCAGAAACCCTGGCCCATAGCGAGGGAGGTAGATGAGAGGGGTGGGGGGGGCCCTGGGTAAGGGCCCCGCGGGAGGACCCAGGCCTTGCATGGGTTTGAGCCCTGGCACTGCAGAAAACAAAATTTTATTCCTATAAAGATAAAAAAAGAAAGGAAAGAGAGAGGAGAGAGAATAAGAAAGAGAGCAAAGGAAGAAGGAAAAGAAGGGAGGAAGGCAAGCCAGCAGAGGCAAGTGGAGGAGTTTTGAGTTCGAGTCTTCCTGAGTGGTGGGCGCCTTGTTGGTTTCCTTCCCCGTGGGGCCCCAAGTTTTCCTTGGTTCCTTGGTTCCTGGTGGGGAGCTGGGAGCACTCGGGGACACCTGGGTGGGTGAGCACAGAGCAGCAGCAAGGAGGCAGGCGGCTCCAGAAGGCTCCACGGCCAGCCCGATGGCTTCAGGTAGCCTTGCACTCATCTTCCTTCTAAGGGTAGCGTTTTGAGGGTGCAGTGACACCGTCCCCGCCCCCCTGCACCTATTCCACTTCCCCAGCTGAGTTCACTTCCCAAATCCGAGGAGGAACAGAAGTGACCTGTTAGGCCACTTTCCCCGGGGGCCACAGCAGCAGAAGCAGCAAAGACGGTGGGTACCGGGATCTTGATACACAAGGACAGGAGAAGAACCAGGGAGTGCTGGGCTCAGTGGCAGGAAGCCACAGATTCCTGGAGAACTGGAGCTACTCCTCCTGGAGGTGCTTTTGCCCGTTGAGGGGTGCAGGGAGCTGTGGAGAGGGCTCCAGAGAACCCAGCAGGAGCTGGAGCAATAGCACAGCGGGTAGGGTGTTTGCTCTGCACGTGGCCAACCTGGGTTCGATTCCCAGCATCCCATATGGTACCCCAAGCACCGCCAGGAGTAATTCCTGAGTGCATGAGCCAGGAGTAACCCCTGTGCATCGCCGGGTGTGGCCCAAAAAGAAAAAAAAAAAAAAAAAGAACCCAGCAGCTCTCGAGTCCTCTCAGCTTTCCCAGAGAGAGAGTGTGGAGACAAGAGCCAGCCCACCAGTCTCATTTCCCTAATGGCAGGTGCAAGTGAGGCCCCACACACCGGGAGCAGCAGAAGGTCACCACCAGCCCTGGCTGGCTTGTCTCGACACAACTACCTGCCCTGGAATTTGTGCTGTTCCCTGGGTGGCTTATAATCAGCTGGGTAGACATGTGCAGTTTCCCCTGGTCCATTCCCTGCCCCCCTCAGCTCTTGCCTAGCGGGAAGCAGTGACGTTACTGAGTACCTGGGGGAGGGGCGGGGGGAGCGTGCAGTTTTGGACCATCCTTGTGACACATGCAAGCAAGAGGAAAATCGAGGTGTTGCGAGGGGCTCACTGATAAGAAGGACTCACAAAATGCGGTCTGGACCCCTCAGGCATTCCCAGGGTCCTTTCTGAAAGGTGCACCCTGCACAGTTTCTGAAGGGTGCACCGAGCACCCCTAGTTTTCTGAGCTTTGTTGACAGATGTGTTGTTCGTGCCAGTGTGGTTGGACGTGCCTACCTGCAGGGGCCAGCAGAGCCAAGAGTCCAAGTGTGTTCTGGGGCCCCAGGCACTCTGGACAATTGCTAAAATGTTGGGATGATTTTGATTATTGGTGGTGCCGAGGATTGAACCCGTGTCTTTCGCCTGCAAGGCCTGTGATCTGTTGCTGAGTTATAGCACCTAGGTTTGCTCTCATTCTTTTTTTTTTTTCCAAATGATTTCTTTCGGACATACTTTAACTTCATAATAGTTATGTATATTAATGAATAACACGTCTGTTATTTTAAAGCAAATTAATATGTGCCTTTTGCTGTTGATTTTGGGGCCACACTCAGGGGTTACTCCTGGCTCTGCACTGAGGAAATCATGCCTGGCGGTGCTCGGGGGAACCACATGGGATGCCAGGAATCGAGCCCAGGTTGGCTGTATGCAAGGCAAGCATCCTATGCACTTGTGCTGTCCCTGTGCCGAATTTATTTTCTTCACTTATTTATGGGCTGGAGCGATAGCACAGCAGGTAGGACGTTTGCCTTGCATGCAGCTGGCCCTGCCGAGCCGGGTTCGATTCCTCCGCCCCTCTCGGAGAGCCCGGTAAGCTACCGAGAGTATCTCGCCCACACAGCAAAGCCTGGCAAGCGACCCGTGTTGTATTCAATATGTCAAACACAGTAACAACAAGCCTCATGATGGAGATGTTACTGGGCCCGCTCGAGCAAATCGATGAGCAATGGGAGGACAGTGCTACAGTGCTACATTTACTTATAATATAGCAAATATCCATGGGTGCCATCCAGTGAAAAGCCTTTGAGAATGTTACAGCCAGCAATGCTCAGGGCTTACTCCTAGCAAGGTTCCAGGGACCATATGTGATGGTGGGGATTGAACCCAGATTAGTCGCATGCACGGGACATGTGTGAAGTGCTCAGTGACTCTCTCACCTCTCTGCTCTCCCCTCTCAGCTGTCACCACAGTCACGTGGGAGGAGGAGTCTGCAGCTCGCACCTCTGCCCAGGACTGTTGTGTGACTTCTAGGCTTTCATCTTCCCCTCTCTGACTCTGCTCCGGCTTCTTCTGGTGGACGGGAAGATGCTCTCGCATCCTCTCTGGTCCCACCCATGGGCTTGAGAATGGGTTTTCTCAAGCCCATGGGTGCCAGAGAGCCAGTTTCCAGGCACATTCCATGGCCTTGTGCCTCTTGGGCTGTGTTTGGGTATGGATTATGCGACTTGAATCAGCCGGGTGTTCTTCTGCACCCTGCCTTTGTCTTCGAAATCTCTCCCTGGAGAAACAATGGCAGGGCAATTGTGTGTTACAGACCCCACGGATGGATGGACGGACTCTGAACTCTGAAACATTCTGCTGGGGAGACTGGGTTGTTTTTATGGATTTTAATGGCATTTTCCTCCCTCACAGAGCAGCAGTTGCAGAAGGATTCTCATGGCAAGGCTTGGGGCGGGGGCATATCTGCTTTGTACCTAAATCTCACTCCAGCCAACACACATCCAGTGTGCTGACCAAGTCGGAGCGAAGACTTGGTCAGAATTTCAGATCAGCTTTTCTTTTTGTGACACCTGTCCCCTGTCTCTGCCTCCCCAGCTTCCCCACCACGTCCTGGGAAATTATCCAATTTTTAATAGTCGGGACAGCTTTTATTTGAGGGGCCCACACTGGTGGTACTCAGGGCTTATCCAGGCTCTGTGCTCAGGAATCACTCCTTGGAGGGGGCTGGGGGACCATATGGGACTCTGGGGATGGAAATTAGGTTGGCCGTGTGCAAGGCAAACACCCTGTCCACTGTACTATCTGTCTGGCCCCACTGGGGGCAACCTTAATAAAACCGTGAGTGGACTTTGTTTGATGCGGTCCATGTGCTTCTCAAACACGAGGACCCCTTATTTCCCTGTTGCTTCCCCCTTACTCTTTTTGTTGTTTTCGTAATGGCGAACACTTCCACACTTGGTTTGGGTGCTTGGCGTTGAACTCGTGCTCTGTACACAGGGGTTGGTCATTGGAAGAAACTCGGTTGGGGGCCCCTTTTTTGGAAATCAGCCATCGTTCTCTTGTGTCACTGCGTCACACAGCAAATTCATCAAATTCTCATAGTGAATGGTTTTTTAATCTAAACTGAGATGGTCAGGAGAGAGAGACAGAGAGAGAGAGACAGAGAGAGAGAGAGAGAGAGAGAGAGAGAGAGAGAGAGAGAGAGAGCGCGCGAGAGAGAGCGCTGTTACGATTCTCCCACCCAGTTCATCAATTTTATTGTCTGAGCCTTAAGTGAGTTGTGATAAGTATGTAATTATTTTGGTGGTTGAAGTTCCAAATTGAGGCCAGGGGGTAATGAGCAGAACTTTCAGTTCTGCTCGGGAGCTCTGGCCAGCAGTGCATGTGGGAGCCAGCGGGTTGGCTAGGACGCTCTGTGGGGGTGGGTTGTCCCTAGAAGTTCACCCTCCACACACCACGCTGCCAGCGGGACTGCTGATGCCCGCTCAGAGGGCTTTTACTTCTGAGTTCCCTTTCCTGGCTTTGGTGGGGGGCAGTGATCATCAGCGGTCACTGCTGGCGTGGCCTGCTCCCGCCCACAGCGGCCGGCAGCACTCAACAGCCTATGTCAGCCTCATGGCCCTTTCAGCATCTGTCGTTTTGGGTCCCATGGATGATCTCTGCAGGGGCTGGGAATGTAGCTTAGGGGTGGAGCGCAGGTGAGAATCCGGAATCACCCAGAAAAATAAAAGAAGAAAAGAAAAGGGCTGTGAAGGTGGCTCAGAGGTCAGAGGCATATGCTTCCTGTGCACAAGGCTCTAGGTTTGGTCCTCATTATGGCATGATGGTACACCCCCCCCCCCCCCCCCCAAGCACTGCCAGGTGTCACCCAGGAGCTCGTCCACAGCTCCCCCAGCATCACTGGGTCTAAGGAGTAAATCATTTAGCCTAGTTGTCCCCAAAGTGGCCCTGGGGTGCTCTATACATTGACTCATGCCCACCACCCACAGAGAAAGAAGAGGAAAAACACAC